AGAATGGAAAAAATTATTTAACTGATCGAAATGATTATAAAGATGTCTGAATTATTTATTTTAATTATTTATAAGTCACAAAAAGACTTAGACTTACTGTCTGAAGAAATAAAATTTTATTTGTCAAAATTCAAATATGGCGCTGGAAATTAAATGGCCGTCCGGCAAGGCCTGCAAGAAAAGTTAGCTGGAAACACCGTGCAATTTACAAAACTGCCTGAAGTTATTAGTTAAAACAAGGTATAGTGACCTATAATATTAAATTGTGAGGATGCAAGTGCAAATAAAGACTTAGAAACTCTCCGTATTTGGATCTGTGATCTGTGCAAAATCTTCGTGCTGCTATTATACAACGTTCATTCGGAACTACCCGATAGCATAAAATAAGTGATTTGACCAAAGTGGGTAAATCAAGTTCACCTAAAACAAGATTACAAACCGTTGAACCGATGCCCCCAAAGTACCCATTGTAGTTTAAACTCGGTCTGGGTGTAACCGCAAGGAATTTAATATCCACAAGGAATTATACATCTCTTAGATATTTTGGTTGGTTTATTAAGGAATTTGTGCACTTTGTTCTCCAACTTGGCGGCAAAGGGGAATAAAGTAGTCTCAGACTCAGAGTTGAAAATGATTCTTTCTTCGAAGTTTTGAATTTGGGCCCATTTCTCTTATAACATTTAAATATTTTATTTTTTTGCATAAAATCGTTCAAAAATTTGTTTGGCCTCGCTCCGCTCGGTGGTGTATACTTTTCGATTTTTTAGGAATTTCATTCCGCCTCGAGTGCGGGATCGAGGTCGTTGTTTCGAACCCCGGTCGGCTCAAATTAAACGTCGGACTTTGAATTGGTATTTGCTGCTTCTCCGCTAAGCACGCGGCATTAAGGACAGATCGAGACCTTTAAAATACTATTGTTGTATTGGGGTCGGCTCGGACTCAGAATAATGTGTCCGGGTAAGGTGACATGTCTTCCTGTGGACTGTTACCTTGTGAACTAACACGTTAAAAATCCGGCTCAGCGTGTCGGTCTGGTACAAAGCTATGAGGCGCCGTTTTACTATTTATTACCTATTTTCTGATATCAAAAAATGATTTTCTGATATCAAAAATTCTATTTTTCGATATCAGAAAATCGATTTCTTGATATCAAGAAATAAAGAATATTTTCTGATATCAAAAATTCAAATTCCTGATATCAAAAATTCATTTTTTGATATCAGGAAATAGATTTTTTGATATCAGCAATTCGAATTTTTGATATCAGAAAATATTTTTGATTTTTTGATATCAAGAAATAGATTTTTTGATATCAAGAATTCGAATTCCTGATATCAAAAAATGATTTTTTGATATCAGAAAATAAGAAATAAATGAATGATGGCTCCCTGTGTGTCATTTAAGACATTCAGGCTCACCAATGAGGCCAAACATCAGGAAATATCTGAAATAATGTTCCCGGTAGACCAATTGTTTTATAGTGTGGAGTACCACTATACACGGTATTGGTCATTATATTGATGACATTGTGTCCCTTGTTACAAAAACAAAATGCTTATACACTTCAAGTTTTATAAACATGAATAAGACTTCAAAGTCTCCAGAAAACTGCTATTTAATAACAATATTTGAAGCAAAAAAAATATTTACACTAATCTTCAGTTTGATCAAACTTATTACGAAATTCAAGACCCATGCACTAAAAGACAATATATGGAAGATTTTTTTAAATTATTCCTAAATAAAACATATTTACTCTTGTGTCGTACAATCCGAATTGGCGGGATATGTCGACCTAAGAATTTACTACATACTGGAAAATGTTTTCAAGATTTAGATACGATGGCTCGATAATATATTCAGGTTCAACAGGCGATATACACGATCTTTTCGCCTTATATATCTAATACAATGCATAAACAAGTCTAAATTGAAAACAACGTTCAAACCTATGATTGCGTTGGATAAAAACCGCAATTTTTATACGTGTGCATGCAAAACAAATTTCTTGGTAGAGGGGTCTAAATACAGCACAAACAACATTTTCCAAAAGATCAAAAAAGTGAAAAAGTATATTTTAACAATACGCATTTGACTAACAGGTCGAACAACGGATGTTCTTAAGCCCTGCTGACTGCCATTGGCGATTGCCAAATAAACGGATCACAAGATGTAACAAAATTGATCTTAATTATTAATTTAATACCAAACAGAAAACAATAAACTTGCGGAAAAGATGGTATACCGCAAACATGAGGTGCAAAAATTTGTACACCATATCCGGATTTCGACAATTAAGATCTCTTCAGTGATGTTAGGAATCGAAACGGTATTTGGAAGACCATATAATTTACCTCAATTTAGGATAGACTCTTGAATTTTGAAGAGTCGAAATGTATACCCTACTAAATTGTACTTACCACTTTTCTCAAAATGAAGTGAAAATTTCTTGACAATCCTTTCAATATAGAGACAAACTTTTCCAAAATGAAGGTATTTTAGAGATGAAAACGTACATCCAACCTACTGAAACGTTTCATTACTTCACAGAAAAAGCTCATATGTATTTAAAAGGTTTATGGAAGACGCGGTTCATCAGAAATACTAGCAGTCTCGTAAAAAGACGAAATAGACAAATCTTTTGAAAATACAAGACATGCATTTTTTTATGTTGTTGTTGGCTTTGACCTAGTTGTCACTATCACATCTGTAATTTGTGTCTTTTTGTATTTGTTACCCTGCCACGTTTGTTCTTACACTATGTTGTAATGTAACACCAGTGTTCCAGGTTAAGGGGAGAGTTGAGCGCTCAAACATGTTTAATCCCGCCACATTCTTTATGTGTCTGTTCCAAGTCCGGAGCCTGCAGTTTCGTACATTGTCTTGGTTCATAGAATTGAGAATGGGAATGTGGGGGGGGGGGGGGATATGTCAAAGAGAAAACAACCCGATCAAAGAGCAGAAAACAGCCGAAGGCCACCAATGGGTCTTCAACGCAGCGAGAAAATCCCGCACCCGGAGGTGGTCCTCAGCTGGACCCTAAACAAAATTGTGTACTAGTTCAGTGAAAATGGACGTCACACTAAACTCCAAAACATATCAATGAACTAAAATTAAAAAACATACAAGACTAACAAAGGCCAGAGGCTCCTGACTTGGGACAGGCGAAAAAATGCGGCGGGGTTAGACATGTTTTGTGAGATCTCAACCCTCCCCCTATACCTCTAGCCAATGTAGAATAAAGAAAAACATAGCAATACGCACAGTAAAACTCAGTTTAAAAGATGTCCGAGTCCGATGTCAGAATAGGTAACAAAATAAACTAAGCAAAATGACAATGATACATAAATGAACAAAGGACTACTAGCAGTTACTGACATGCCAGCTCCAGACCTCAATTAAACTGATTGAAAGATTATGTCTTCATCATCATAAGAAAATCCAGTACAATCCCTCCCGTTATGAGTTTAGTATCATACCATCATAGAATATAAACCGTATCATGCCCACAACTGGTTTTAGAATAAATGTGTTTATTTCCGATGCAAAGACCCTATGAGTGAATCAATATTAATACCAAAATAAGCAATCATTAATGACTAATTGACAACAGTACCGTTACTACCGGTATATCCTTTCCGAATAAGTCTGTTTAAAGGTTTGGTTAGATTTTGAGGTGAATGCCGACATTTTTGTGCCTTGTAAAGAAGTCTGCATGTTGATTTATATTTACGAATGATGTCTGCCATAATTGTTTTACGTAAATTGTTTTGTTATAAATCATATAGGCCTTTAGCTTTCTAAATTGAGTTGTTTATTTCTTTTTCATATTGGGGCCTTTTATAGGCGACTATATGGTATGGGGTTTTCTCATTGTTGAAGGCCGTACGGTTGCTTGTAATTGCTTACATCAACTTCATTTGAACTTTGGTGGCTAGTTGTCTCATGGGCTATCATACCACATCTCCTTATTTTTAAACTTAACAGAACTAACTTACTTACTAAATCCTCAACATAAACAACGGGAAAAAAATATAAAAACAAGATGAACAAAACACTGGGGCTTGATATTTGCAAAAACCTGACTGCACAAATCTGTTTCAGAGGAAACCAATAATTTCTTATAAAAGAAGCGAGAACTTACAATTGTTGACTATAAACCTTAAAATAATAAATATGTGAAACACAAAAACCACAAAACTTCTTATATTAAGACCGATGAAGTCGAACTCTGATATATGCTTTCGTATAATTATATATTACACGACCGAAACACCAGACTTAATGTAAGGGCTCATTGGTGAACGTTGATGCTTTTATTGACACACAGGGAGCAATCGTTGATATTTTTCTTATTTTCTGATATCAAAAAATCATTTTTTGATATCAGGAATTCAAATGTATTTCTTGATATCAAAATATCGTCAGTAATATTTGATATCAGAAAATCTATTTTGTGATATCAGAAAATGGATTTCTTGATATCAAAAAATGATTTTTTGATATCAAAAAATCGAATTTCTGATATCAAGAAATAAAGATTATTTTCTGATATCAAGAAATCGAATTCTTGATATCAAAAAAGGCAATTTTTGATATCAAAAAATTGAATTCCTGATATCAAGAAATATTTTTTGATATCAAGAAATATTTCCTGATATCAAAAAATCATTTTTTGATATCAGGAATTCAATTTTTTGATATCAAGAAATAAGGAATAAATAGTAAAACGGCGCCTCATACAAAGCAGGGTTAATATTCATATTACTTTAACATGTTCTCTTCCTGAATATGCATATTAATTTGCCGCTGGACGTTAATCCATCATCACTGATCATCATCATCCAATCGTAACTACTCGGTCATTCTCGCTACGCAGTACAACAATTTCTTCGTGCAACCTAACCCGAAAGGCCGAGTAGTTCCGATTGCATCATCCTCTATTGCATTGTTCCGCTTCCGTATACGACCCGTATTTTACATCAATAAATGAATTTCCTGTGAAATTTCCAAATCGACGTGAATCACCTTTACTTCAAAAACCACAAGTGTTATGCCCTTTTGTGAAATAGTTTGAACTTCATCCACCATGATGTTTAGCCGAAATATTTTGTGCCTTCTAAACATCATTTGTCATGTCACATCATTGTTGGCATTAAAAATAAAACCTGGGTCAAGTATGTAATCAGAATGTTTTCCTCGTATTATGGGTTTTCGTGCTTTTAAGAATGCATTGTGACGTCACAATTTCCATTGAAAAGCATGCATAGTATGAATTCATATTGTGTACGAAAACATATGATCCGATAATTCATGTATACAGTAATAAATGTGTATTCGGTTTCATTTTCCCCTGTTGTGATCAAAGGGGCTTGTTAAGTGGGTCAGACGAGGTTTTACTGTCAATGGTGGTTGCTATCCTATTTAATAAACCAACCTTGTCTCGCCATTAATCAAGCCCCTGTGGATGGTGCACAGATTTATGCAAACGGCAGCTCATCCCTTTATAAAAGATCATGATTCAGACAATAGACAATATTTATTTGCACAAACACATTTACATTAAATGGTTATGGCATACAGTATAGAACAATTGAAACAATAAACTGACAATGATTATATAATTAAATATTATAATATTCAGATGATAACTTCCATGACTTAGTCCAAATTAGTGTGTTAGTATGACATCTTGAAAGGCATTTAATTTATTTGCTGTGACACATTCCTACAGAGTCACTGCAAAAAATTTAAATAGCCATCAGACGGTCATAATTATTTAATCTGTTGTTAAACTTATCATGCTAATGCGAACCGAATAATCATAATTAAAGTTTAGGCCTTCAAAAATTCCATATTTTGAAGGCTACTAACCCGTCATAGGCATTACTTTGACAAATAATTATCTAGAATTATCTTTTTCATTAGGTTATTACATAAACAAATACAACAATTAGTCATGAGGAGTTATTTTTAAAATTTTAATGAACTGGAAGCAGACTGCATATACAGTGTGTATGTAGTTTTTAAGAATTTTTACATTATTTTATGAGAAAAATTTAAGATATGATTAAAATGGAGTATACAAATAAAATATAACCATAAAATTAATGACAGAAATAACTTATATGAATTATTTTATACATTGATAAAAATAATTGATAATTACAATTACATACATGTAAGGAGCTTATAATATGCAATTTGTTTTTGTGGTTGCAAAGTATAGATAAGTTCAAGTCTCAATAAAATCATGTTTCCATTCATTTGTATATTTCATGAATGTCTACCTTCAAAATTTCTAAAAAAAGTTATATTTTAATTGTCCAAAAAGACAGATCTTTGATCCTAAAATATCAATATAAACCTTAATTTATATCAGAAAGACAATTAGTCAGAGTTTCACCTGAGATCACTGTTGAGATTGTCGCGGGAACATAACGTCCGTACTATTGTACTTGTCCATTGTCGACGTCGTATTGTCAGTGACGTCGCCTTGGGCGGAAATACGTTAGTTGTATATAAAATGTAATGGCTGAACAGTTGTCTTTATACACATTGCCTTAACTATCATCTATATTTATGGTACCGTGACCAATGAATCTCGAAAAATTGAAATCAGTTCGATCTGGGAACAGAAGCGCTGTTACCAGACTATTCCGCAGATTAGATGAAGCAAAGGAGAATACGAATTTCGATGAAGAAGAAGTCATTGCAACGCTCGGAAAACTTGTGCAAAAACAAACATTGTTTGAGGACTTAAATGAACAAATTCTTAAGTTAACAGAACCGGAAGATGTGGAAAATGAGATTATTGATTCAGATGAATATTCAGTGACTATGGAAACGAAGATTCGACACATACGTAAGTTCATACAAAATGTCCAAACCCCGCAGTCCCGTCATATTGAATCACATACTACAACTCACACGTTAAATCCAGAAACTATACCGTTTGTTCCAACGCACAACATAACCAACCCACACAACGCACAGTCGTTTGAAAACCCGTCTGTACAAGCCAGTCACACATTTAACACGCAACAAAGTATATTTTCGTCAACTAGTAATCAGAGTCACCGCCTACCAAAACTTTCGCTTCCAACCTTCTCAGGCAACATTTTAGAATGGCAAACTTTCTGGGACTCATATGAGTCGGCCGTACATCTTAATCTGTCACTTACAAATGTACAAAAATTTAATTACTTGAAAGCACAGCTAGAACATGAAGCACTAGGATCAATAGCAGGTTTCGCACTAACAAATGTAAACTACGATGAAGCCGTAAATTTGTTAAAAGAGAGGTTCGGTCAACAAGATAAAATCATAAATGCATACATGCAGGCATTATTAGAAATTCCTTCGCCTAGAAATCAGTTAACAAGCTTACGAAGTTTTTACGATAAAATGGAAGGTTACGTCAGGGGATTAGAAGCTTTGGGTCAAACACAGGAAACATACGGTACGTTACTTGTTCCCATTATTATGAACAAATTACCCGGGGAAGTCAGAAAACATCTCGCGCGAGAACACAGAACAAAAACTTGGATATTACGGGACCTCCGTAAAAGCATATTAGACGAGATAGATATAATGGACGCAGGACAAGAGATAGAGTCAACACACAATTTGCCCACAACATCGTCTTTCTTTGCCGGAGCGAAATTGCCGAAGTCCAAATCTTACAAGAATATTGAGACTAGACCTTGCGTTTTCTGTCACGAAATACACGCACCTACCTATTGCAGTAAAATAACCGACACAGAATCCCGTATGAACATAGTAAAACGTGATAAGTTATGCTTTAATTGCCTTGGTAAACACAGACTAAACGAATGTAAATCTAAACACACATGTAGACATTGTAATAAGAAACACCATACAAGCTTGTGTAATGTACGTCTAACAAACAGCATAAAACCAGTCCATGAGGTAAGCCATAGAAACGGGGGTAGTAACTCCGCACATACGAATTTCCGCGCGAAAGATAATCAGAGCAGCAACCCGCAAAACCCACCATCTTCAAATTCGACAAACGTTCACCTCGTAAATGAAAGTCATACAACGGATCAAGATACTACCATTTTGTATTCACAATCGACAGAATCGCGATCAAATGTACTTTTGAAAACCGCCGTAGCACAAGTAGGGTCGAATCAGCTCTACACCGAGACAAACATTCTTTTTGACGAAGGAGCGCAAAGATCGTTTTTAACGCAGAACTTAGCGAATAAACTCAACTTACAGATAGAGGGAACAGAGATAATACATTTATCGGCATTTGGAGGTGAAGAGAAAAACGCGAGACACCTAGAAAAGACAACAATCTATCTGAAAACCGATGCAGGACACGTATTGCCAATCAAAGTACTGATAGTACCGATGATAGCCATGCCTCTACAGAATCACATACGTAATATTGATACACAAAATGGTTATTTGCGTGGTTTAAAGTTAGCGCACACGATGACACAGCAAGATTCATTCGAAATATCGTTTTTAGTAGGCGCAGATCACTATTGGGACATTGTAGAAGACCATATAGTACGGGGAAACGGTCCGACCGCCGTGAAATCCAAGATCGGATATTTGCTTTCGGGACCTACATACGGTAAGAAAACTAACACGTCGAAAACTAGCATGTTTAATGTTCTAATATCACACAAAGTTGAAGAATACAATCTAGAGAGATTTTGGAATTTAGAATCAATAGGCATAAATAGTAAGGAGGTAGACGAAGACGGTGATGCATATATTAAAGCCTATCAAGACAGATCAATTGAGTTCCGAGAAAATAAATATTTCGCTAGGTTACCATGGAAACAGGATCATGATGAATTGCCTACAAATTTAGCAGTCACGAAGAGAAGGACAGAAAACGTCATTAAAAGACTAACTCAAAACCCAGATTTGTTAAAGAAGTACGGGAACATCATACAAGAACAGGAACGTAGGGGATTCATAGAGAAGGTGGATGAAACAGCAGAAACTTCAGAAAAACTGCACTACATTCCTCATCATCCAGTACAGAAGGAATCAAGCACTACGCCTATCAGAATTGTTTACGACTGCAGTTGTCGCCAGTCGCCTAATTCGCAAAGCTTGAATGACTGCCTCTTGGATACACCGCCGAAGCTAAACGACCTGACAAAAATTCTGATGAGATTTAGAGCCAACCCTGTCGCCATAACAACGGATATTGAGAAAGCCTTTTTACATGTAGGATTAAACGAGGATGACCGAGACGCTACACGTTTCTTGTGGCTAAGTAACCCATCCGACCCAACAAGTTATTTACAGACTTACAGGTTCAAATCCGTCCTTTTTGGAGCGACTTGTTCACCGTTTATACTAAACGCCACAATACTGAAACATTTACAACGTTACAACAGTAAAACAGCTACATTGATGGAAAGAGACTTGTACGTGGACAACATTCTGACAAGTTTACAGAACGAGGATGAGGCTGATACGTATTATAAGGAAGCGAGAACAATGATGAAAGACGCCGGATTCAACCTACGATCGTGGACGTCAAACAGTGAGAATATACGCAAGCTAGCCAAGACGGAAAATGTACTAGATATGGACATAAACACAAAAGTACTTGGTATGTTATGGAATAGCAAATCCGATGATCTGATGTACCAGAAATGTGATATTCCAATACGAGATATTGAAACAAAAAGGGAGATTTTGAAACATTCGTCGAAAATATACGATCCACTTGGAATACTCAGCCCGGTAACAATAAGAGCAAAGACACTAATACAGGATCTATGGAAAAGTGGACTGGATTGGGATGAACAAGTTCCGGAAAACTTTAAGGCTACTTGGATTAATGTAGCAAGCGACTTAGAGAAAGCGACACAAATCGTCTTTCCGAGATATTATTTCCCCGGTAATTCTACTTCGGAACAACTTGAACTACACGTATTTTGCGATGCCAGTCCAAAGGCGTATGGAGCGACCGCATATCTGAACAACGGAACCGAAACTGCGTTAATGATGGCAAAAAGCAGAGTAGCGCCAGTGAAAAACCTAACATTACCGCAACTAGAACTTATGGCCGCGGTTATTGGAACTAGACTAGCGTCACATGTACAATCGACTTTCGAATTTAAAAACGTGGTTTTCTGGTCGGATAGCTGCATAGTATTGCACTGGTTAAAATCAT